GGGATGATTTCCTGCATTTTTTAGGATGATTTCATGGGTTTTTTGGGTGGTTATCCCACATTTTTTGGGTGGTTATCCCGGATTTTTTGGGATGTTTATCCCAGATTTTTTGGGATGATTTCCTGGATTTTTTGGTATGTTTATCCTGGATTTTTTGGGATGATTTTTTGGGTTTTTTTGAGATGTTTATCCTGGATTTTTTAGGATGATTTTTTGGGATTTTTTGGGATGTTTATCCCGGATTTTTTGAGATGTTTATCCTGGATTTTTTGGGATGATTTCCTGGGATTTTTGGGATGGTTTCATGGCTTTTTTGGGATGATCTCCTGGATTTTTTGGGATGATTTCCTGCATTTTTTAGGATGATTTCATGGGTTTTTTGGGTGGTTATCCCACATTTTTTGGGTGGTTATCCCGGATTTTTTGGGATGTTTATCCCAGATTTTTTGGGATGATTTCCTGGGTTTTTTGGGAATCTTATCCAGGATTTTTTAGGATGATTTCCTGGATTTTTTGGGATGATTTCCTGGGTTTTTTGGGATGTTTATCCTGGATTTTTTGGGATGTTTATCCCAGATTTTTTGGGATGATTTCCTGGATTTTTTGGTATGTTTATCCTGGATTTTTTGGGATGATTTTTTGGGTTTTTTTGAGATGTTTATCCTGGATTTTTTAGGATGATTTTTTGGGATTTTTTGGGATGTTTATCCCGGATTTTTTGAGATGTTTATCCTGGATTTTTTGGGATGATTTCCTGGGATTTTTGGGATGATTTTTTGGGATTTTTTGGGATGATTTCCCGGATTTTTTGAGATGTTTATCCCGGATTTTTTGGGATGATTTCCTGGGATTTTTGGGATGATTTTTTGGGATTTTTTGGGATGATTTTTTGGGATGATTTCCCGGATTTTTTGAGATGTTTATCCTGGATTTTTTGGGATGATTTCCTGGATTTTTGGGATGATTTTTTGGGATTTTTTGGGATGATTTTTTGGGTTTTTTGGGATGATTTCCTGCATTTTTTAGGATGTTTATCCAGGATTTTTTGGGTGGTTCTCCCAGATTTTTTGGGATGTTTATCCTGGATTTTTTGGGATGGTTATCCCAGATTTTTTGGGATGTTTATCCCGGATTTTTTGGGTGGTTATCCCAGATTTTTTGGGATGTTTATCCTACATTTTTGGGAATCTTATCCTGGATTTTTTGGGATGTTTTCCTGCATTTTTTGGGATGATTTCCCGGATTTTTTGGGATGATTTTTTGGGATTTTTTGAGATGTTTATCCCGGATTTTTTGGGATGATTTCCTGGGATTTTTGGGATGATTTTTTGGGATTTTTTGGGATGTTTATTTTTTGGGATGATTTCCCGGATTTTTTGAGATGTTTATCCTGGATTTTTTGGGATGATTTCCTGGATTTTTGGGATGATTTTTTGGGATTTTTTGGGATGTTTATCCTGGATTTTTGGGATGTTTATCCCAGATTTTTTGGGATGTTTATCCAGGATTTTTTGGGATGTTTATCCAGGATTTTTTGGGATGTTTTCCTGGATTTTTTGGGATGTTTATCCTGGATTTTTTGGGATGATTTCCCGGATTTTTTTGGTGGTTATCCCACATTTTTTTATGGATGATTTCCTGGATTTTTTGGGATGATTTCCTGGGATTTTTTGGGATGATTTCCTGGGATTTTTTGGGATGGTTATCCCAGATTTTTTTGAATAATTTCCTGGATTTTTTGGGAATCTTATCCCGGATTTTTTGAGATTCTGATCCAGGATTTTTTGGGATGATCTCCTGGATTTTTTGGGATGATTTCCCGGGTTTTTTGGGAATCTTATCCAGGATTTTTTGGGAATCTTATCCAGCATTTTTTGGGATGTTTATCCTGGATTTTTTGGGATGATTTCCTGCATTTTTTGGGTGGTAATCCCAGATTTTTTGGGATGATTTTTTTGGTGGTTATCCCACATTTTTTTAGGATGATTTCCTGGATTTTTTGGGATGATTTCCTGGGATTTTTTGGGTGGTTATCCCACATTTTTTGGGTCGTTATCCCAGACTTTTTGGAATAATTTCCTGGATTTTTTGGGAATCTTATCCAGGATTTTTTGAGAATCTTATCCCAGATTTTTTGGGATGATTTCCTGGATTTTTTGGGATTTTTTAGGACGTTTTCCTGGATTTTTTGGGATTTTTATCCAGGATTTTTTGGGATGTTTTCCTGGGATTTTTTGGGATGATTTCCTGGATTTTTTGCGATGTTTATCCCAGATTTTTGGGATGTTTATCCAGGATTTTTTAGGATGTTTATCCCAGATTTTTTGGGATGTTTATCCCAGATTTTTTGGAATAATTTCCTGGATTTTTTGGGAATCTTATCCAGGATTTTTTGGGATGATTTCCTGGATTTTTTGGGATGATTTCCTGGGATTTTTTAGGATGTTTATCCTGGATTTTTTGGGATGGTTTCCTGGGTTTTTTGGGATGGTTATCCCAGATTTTTTGGGTCATTATCTCAGATTTTTTTGGGATGATTTCCTGGATTTTTTGGGTCGTTATCCAGGATTTTTTGGGATGCTTTCCTGGATTTTTTGGGATGTTTATCCTGGATTTTTTGGGAATCTTATCCTGGATTTTTTGGGATGTTTATCCCAGATTTTTTGGGTGGTTAACCCAGATTTTTTGGGATGTTTATCCTGGATTTTTTGGGTGGTTATCCCACATTTTTGGAAACTCTATCCTGGATTTTTTGGGAATCTTATCCAGGATTTTTTGGGATGATTTCCCGGGTTTTTTGGGTGGTTATCCCAGATTTTTTGGAATAATTTCATGGATTTTTTGGGATGTTTTCCAGGATTTTTTGGGTGGTTATCCCAGATTTTTTGAGATGTTTTCCTGGATTTTTTGGGAATCTTATCCCGGGTTTTTTAGGATGTTTATCCTGGATTTTTTGGGATGATTTTCCGGATTTTTTGGGATGGTTATCCCAGATTTTTTGGGTGGTTATCCCCCATTTTTTGGGTGGTTATCCCATGTTCTTTGGGATAATTTCCTGCATTCTTTGGGATGATTTCCTGGGATTTTTTGGGATGGTTATTCCAGATTTTTTGGAATAATTTCCTGGATTTTTTTGGATGATTTCCTGGATTTTTTGGGTGGTAATCCCAGATTTTTTTGGGATGATTTCCAGGATTTTTTGGGATGTTTATCCCAGATGTTTTGAGATGATTTCCTGTGATTTTTTGGGATGATTTCCTGGATGATTTTGGGATTTTCCAGTTGTTTTTCCAGGGATTTCCAGGCCGGTTATCCCAGGTTTTTTGCAACACCATTCCCAATTATTTTCCCGCCATTCCCAATTATTTTCCCCGGAATCCCTGGGTTATTTTCCCCATTTTTCCCGCCATTCCCAGATATTTTTTTTCCTGGGATCCCAGGATTTTTTCCCAGGATTTTTTCCCGCCACTTGCAGTTATTTTCCCGCCATTCCCGAATATTTTTCCCTAAGATTCCCAAGATTTTTTCCAGCCATTCCCAGTTATTTCCCCACAATTCCCAGGATTTTTTCCTGCCATTCCCGGCTATTTTTTCCCGCCATTCCCGCTCCTTTTCCCGCCATTCCCGGCTATTCTTTCCCGCCATTCCCAGTCCTTTTCCCGCCATTCCCGGTCCTTTTCCCGCCATTCCCGGCTATTTTTTCCCGCCATTCCCGGCTATTTTTTCCCGCCATTCCCGGCTATTTTTTCCCGCCATTCCCGGCTATTCTTTCCCGCCATTCCCGCTATTTTTTCCCGCCATCCCCGCTCCTTTTCCCGCCATTCCCGATGTTTTTCCCGGGATACCTGGTCGAGGATGAAGTTGCGGCGGGCGCGGGGGGCGATCTGCACCAGCTTGCTAAGGCACTGCGCCGCCTGCTGAGTCAGCAGCTCCCGGCTCTTGGCATCCAACTCCTCCGGCTCCGGCCCCCGCGTCTGGCCCGGAACCGTTCCCAAGTTATCCCGGGATTGTCCCGGGATTGTCCCAGAATTATCCCAGAATTATCCCGGGATTGTCCCGGGATTATCCCCAAATCATCCCCAAATTATCCCGGGATTGTCCCAGAATTATCCCGGATTTATTCTCAAATTATCCCAGAATTATCCTGGGATTGTCCCGGGGTTGTTCCCAAATTATCCCAGAATTGTCCCAAAATTGTCCCGGGATTATCCCCAAATTATCCCGGGATTGTCCCAGGATTATTCCCAAATTATCCCCAAGTTATCCCGGGATTGTCCCAGAATTATCCCAGAATTATCCTGGGATTGTCCCGGGGTTATTCCCAAATTATTCCCAAATTATCCCGGGATTGTCCCGAGATTATTCCCAAATTATCCCAGAATTATCCCAGAACTCCCCCAATCCCAAATTCCCGGAATTCCCGGAATTCCCAGAATTCCCAGAATTCCGTCGCCCGCTGACCGTCAGCTGGTGCAGGACCCAAATCCCATCCCCCGATCCCCATCCCGAATTCCCGAATTCCCGGATCCGGAATTCCTGGGATCCCAATCCCAAATTCCCCCAATCCCAAATTCCTGGATCCAGAATTCCCAGGACCCCAACCCCAAATTCCCAGGACCCCGATCCCAAATTCCTGGATCTGGAATTCCCAGGATCCCAACCCCAAATTCCCGGGATCCCAAATCCCATCCCCCGATCCCAATCCCGAATTCCCAGCATTCCCAGGATCTGGAATTCCCGGGATCCCAATCCCGAGTTCCCAGGATCCCAAATCCCGTCCCCCGATCCCAATCCCGAATTCCCCGATCCCAAATTCCCGAATTCCCAGGATCCCAATCCCGAATTCCCCCCAATCCCAATCATGAATTGCCCCCAATCCCAAATTCCCAGGATCCCAAATCCCATCCCCCCATCCCAATCCCGAATTCCCGGCATTCCCGAATTCTCAGGATCCAGAATTCCCGGGGTCCCAATCCCAAATTCCTGGGATCCCAAATCCCATCCCCCAATCCCAATCCCGAGTTCCCGAATTCCCAGGATATGGAATTCCCAGGATCCCAATCCCGAATTCCCCCCAATCCCAATCCCAAATTCCCAACCCTGGAATTCCCGGGGTCCCAATCCCAAATTCCCAGGATCCCAAATCCCATCCCCCGATCCCCATCCCAAATTCCCGAGTTCCCGAATTCCCGGCATTCCCGAATTCCCGGCATTCCCAGAATTCCCGGAATTCCGCCATCTCTGACCGTCAGCTGGTGCAGGACCCAAATCCCATCCCCCGATCCCGAAATTCCCGAATTCCCGGTATTCCCGAATTCCCGGATCCGGAATTCCCGGGTTCCCAACCCCAAATTCCCAGGATCCCAAATCCCATCCCCCAATCCCAATCCTGAATTCCCGAATTCCCGGCATTCCCGAATTCCCGGCATTCCCAAACTCCCGAATTCCCGGAATTCCCAGGATCCCAATCCCGAATTCCCGGGATCCCAAATCCCATCCCCCAATCCCGAATTCCCAGGATCCCAATCCCGAATTCCCGGATTCCCGGCATTCCCGGCATTCCCGGATTCCGGAATTCCCGGGATCCCGCCGTCCCTGACCGTCAGCTGGTGCAGGACGCGCTCGGTGCCCAGGATGTTGTAGCGTTTCTCCCGATTTTCCTGGGAATGTTTCTGTGCCCACTGAGTCTTCCCGGAGCCCGGGAGCCCCACCATGAGCAGCACCTGCGGGAAACACGGGAATTCCCTGGGAAAACGGGAATTGTGGGCGGGAAAACCGGGAATTGTGGGTGGGAAAACCGGAATTCCCATGGGAAAACGGGAATTGGGGGGGAAAAAACGGGAATTCCCATGGAAAAACGGGAATTCCAGGGGGAAAATGGGAATTGTGGGTGGAAAAATGGGAATTCCCATGGGGAAACGGGAATTTCCAGGGGGAAAACGGGAATTCCCAGGGGAAAACGGGAATTCCCAGGGAAAAACGGGAATTCCCATGGGAAAATGGGAATTCCCAGGGGAAATACGGGAATTACCGTGGGAAAACGGGAATTCCCATGGAAAAACGGGAATTGTGGGTGGAAAAATGGGAATTCCCATGGGAAAACGGGAATTGGGGGGGAAAAAACAGGAATTCCCATGGAAAAACGGGAATTCCAGGGGGAAAAACGGGAATTCCAGGGGGAAAACGGGAATTCCAGGGGGAAAACGGGAATTGTGGGGGAAAAACGGGAATTGTGGGCGGGAAAAACCGGAATTCCCATGGAAAAATGGGAATTCCCATGGAAAAACGGGAACTCCCATGGAAAAACGGGAATTCCAGGGGGAAAACCGCAATTCCAGGGGGAAAACGGGAATTGTGGGGGAAAAACGGGAATTGTGGGAGGGAAAAACTGCAATTCCCATGGGAAAACGGGAATTCCCATGGGAAAAATGAGAATTCTGATGGGAAAAATGGGAATTCCCAGGGGAAAACGGGAATTGTGGGTGGGGAAATGGGAATGCTGATGGGAAAAAGGAGAATTCTGGGAAATCCCAGAAAATTCAAAAAAAACCCAAAAAAATTCCACGAAAATTCCCAAGAATTCCCCAAAAATCCCTAAAAAATCCAAAAAAAAACCACCCTAAAAAAATTCCCCAAATATCCAAAAAACTCCCTAAAAATCCCCCAAAAAATCCTAAAAAATTCCCTAAAAAACCCCTAAAAATTCCCTAAAAAATCCCAAAAAAAATCCCTAAAAACCCAAAAAAATCCCTAAAAAAACCCCAAAAAATCCCTAAAAAAATAAAAAAAATTCCCCAAAAAATCCCAAAAATTCCCTAAAAAATCCTAAAAAAATCCTCAAAAAATAAAAAAAAATCCCTCAAAAATTCCTAAAAAAACCCCAAAAAACCTCAAAAAACCCCAATAAATCCAAAAAAAATCCCAAAAAAATAAAAAAAATCCCTAAAAAAACCCAAAAAAATCCCCAAAAAACCCCAAAAAACCCCCAAAAAATCACTAAAAAAATCCCTAAAAAACCCCAAAAAATCCCCAAAAAATCCCAAAAAAACCCCAAAAAAATCCCCAAAAAAATCCCAAAAAATCCCAGAAATCCCCCAAAAATCTCTCCAAACCCCCCCAAACCCCCCTCAGCGATCCTGCCGCACCTCGCACTCCTCGGTGCTCTTGGGCCCGGGCGGTGTCCGCACCCTGTCGGGCGCCGGGATGTGATGGATGAAGAGGAAGCCGTCGGGAACCGGCGCCAGCGGCTCCGGCCGCTGCCCGAAGTTGAGCTCGACGGCGCAGCCCTTGCAGAGCACGTGGGGCAGCAGCGCCCGCTCCCGCAGCGAATCCTTGCGCACCCGGAACGCCGCGCCCAGGTCCCGGCCGTTCTTGGAGAACGACAGCGACACCAGCGAGGGGTCCTCGAAATCCTGCGGGGGGAAACGGGATCGGGGTTAGCGGGAATGGCGGGGATTTGGGGTTGGGATTGGGGGATTTGGGATTGGGATTTGGGATTGGGATCGGGGGGTTTGGGATTTGGGGATTTGGGGATTGGGACTGGGGGATTTGGGATTTGGGGATTGGGGGATTTGGGATTTGGGGATTGGGAATTGGGGATTTGGGGTTGGAATTGGGAGATTTGGATTGGGAATTGGGATTGGGGGATTTGGGGTTGGGAACTGGGATTCGGGATTGGGAATTGGGGGATTTGGGAATTGGGGATTTGGGGACTGGGGGATTTGGGGATTGGGAATTCGGGATCCTCCTCTTTTTCCAGGTTTTCCCCCCACTTTCCCCCCGGATTTCCCCATTTTTCCCAAATATCCCCTCATTTTCCCAGATTCCCCCCACTTTTCCCGGATTTTTTCCCCGTTTTTCCCGGATTTTTCCCCATTTTCCCCCATTTTCCCCCGTTTTTCCGGGTTTTTCCCGGATCTCTCTCCTGTTTTTCCCAGATTTTCCCCATTTTTCCCAGATTCCCCCCGTTTTTCCCGGATCTCTGTTCCCATTTTCCCCCGTTTTTCCCCATTTTTCCCAGATTTTTTCCCCGTTTTTCCCCATTTTTCCCCATTTTTCCCAGATTTTTTCCCATTTTCCCCCATTTTTCCACGATTTCCCCCATTTTTCCTGGATTTCCCCCGTTTTTCCCGGATTTTTCCCCGTTTTTCCCCATTTTTCCCGGATTTTTTCCCATTTTTTCCCGTTTTTCCCCGTTTTTCCCCATTTTTCCCGGATTTTCCCCCGTTTTTCCCGGATCTCTCTCCTGTTTTTCCCAGATTTTCCCCATTTTTCCCGGATTCCCCCCGTTTTTCCCCATTTTTCCCCATTTTTCCCGGATTTTTCCCCGTTTTCTCCCCCGTTTTCCCGGCTCCTCACCGCGAAGCAGCCGATGACGTCGCTCTCTCCGAAGCTTTCCCCGAATTCCTGGAATTTCGAAGCAGCCGATGACGTCGCTCTCTCCGAAGCTTTCCCCGAATTCCTGGAATTTCCCGTTCTCCACCTTCAGCCCCCGCCCGTCGAAGCCGTAGGAAAACTCATCCTCGCCTGCAGAGGGAATTCCGGGAATTCCGGGAATTCCCCACGGGAAAAGGGGGATTTGGGGGGGAAAATGGGAATTTGGGGAATTTTTTGGGGAGAAAATGGGAATTTTCGGGGAGAAAATCGGAATTTAAGCAGAAAAATGGGGATTTTTGGGAGGAAAATGGGAATTTTTGGGGGGAAAAATGGGAATTTTTGGAGGGGAAAATCAAAATTTAAGCAGGAAAATGGGAATTTTGGGAATTTTTTTGGAGAAAATGGGAATTTGGGGGAGAAAAATGGGAATTCCGGGAATTTTTTGGGGAGAAAAAGGGAATTTTCGGGGAGAAAATCGGAATTTAAGCAGAAAAATGGGAATTTTTTTGGGGAAAATGGGAATTTTTGGGAGGAAAATGGGAATTTTGGGAGGGAAAATGGGAATTTTGGGGGGAAAAATGGGAATTTTTTGGGGGAAATGGGAATTTTTGGGGGGAAATGGGAATTTTTGGAGGGGAAAATCAAAATTTAAGCAGGAAAATGGGAATTTTTTGGGGGG